ATGAGGGACTGCTGGAAAAACCAGGAACATTAGCCTTCTAAAACTCATATCCCAAAGCCACACATTATACACATCAAAGCCACGAACAACACACGACTGTGTTCAATAACAATGGTGCCTGACAAGTAAGGTATTGCTTGTATTCCAGCAAATTCATTTCACTTTGTGTTTGATTAAACTAATTAATATATTCTAACAAAAACTGGCCCTTTATGTCTTCATAAAAATATGTTTTACTGTATTTGGTAAGACCGTAATATTTTTATACATGTATTTGCATCTAGTAAGTTAAATTTACCTAATCTGGTAATTGTAACTTATTAGGAATCTAGAAAAAACTTTACATACCAAATTAGTTCACCTCCAAAGACACAGAAGTATATTTTAAACTCTTACTATTAAATTTGCAAAGGTTTAAAATACTCATCTAACCATTTGTGTTTATATAATATGACGCTTCCATGAATAAAAATTTAATAAGCTATATGAATACCACGGCTGAAGGCTGTAGCTCAATGGTATAGCACTGTAAACAAACAAAAGTGAATTCAATACAGCTTCTAAAACACAGATCTCAATTCTGACAACAACAAGAAAAAAAAACCTCACATTTTAATACGCTTCTCTAGAACCAAGTCCCTGTTTCTAAAGGGGTCATTCCATGTCATTCATGAAAGTCATTTTACAGAGATACAAGCAAGCAGACAGCAAACTGCTGCTGACTCCAAACTCAATTTGGACTCTTAAACTTCTTTTATATCTTAACACTCTCATCAAGACTACGAACTTTTTAAACACCTTGAATCCTAAAATACTTAGCTTTTTGTGAATGGCTTGCAAGTTTAATGATTAAATGATGATTGGGCGTACATTAAACTATGTGCCTAATCCAGTTTAAACTACAATGCTGCCCCATGCACGCCATCCTGGTCTAGTGTTACTGTGGTTCTGAGCGTTCTGAGACCTTCAAGCTAAACACCACAAGAAAAGCATCCAAGGCTCAAAGACAGAACCTCCGGAGACTTACAGAAGAGAAGCACAGTCTCAGAGCGCGCCAGACGGTCCTATAATTCCCATGGACCAATTTAATGAAGCCCTTCTTTGGTTTTGATTTTTAGCCTTTTATTTAAAAGTGTATTACCAATCCAATAAACGAAAAACACAACTGAAATACATTTTTAAACTCTGAGGTTTTCAAACTATGTTTTAAACTGCAAAGCACAGTGGGGAAAACCCTTCCTCACCATTAAAACCCAAAGCACACCTGTGTGTGCTAGCCTGTGAACATAGCCACATGTTCTCACACGGGCACATAGATGCAGAGGCATGTTTATAAAATGACAATTACAGAATGTTTAAAATAGCACACCACAATACTCTGTATGTTCTGCACCATCCATTTTGGGGCCATGCTGGCTACACACAAGTATATAATTCCAACACAATGAAATGATGAATTTCTTAAGAAATGGGAGAGCTTACTACAGATCCAATCATCAAACACTGGATACATGAGCCAAATTATCAGAATGTACCTCATAAACATGGACAAATATGTCCCAAGGGAAACAAAGCTAAGTAAACGCCATCTCCCAGATATTAAACTGATTTCAGAGTCAACTATGCTGATCAGACCAGAACTCGGTGACTTTGATCCTCTCTCTGTCACAACTGTTGGACTTATTTTAAAACAACTCACTTGGTAGCAGGTTAAGATCAAACCTGGTTTTCCTTCCTTTTTGGACACTGGAGCAAAGTGATGAACTAACTAGAAAAGCAAGCACAAAGCTCTTAGTGTGGCGGCAGCAATGTCACCGGCTTCCATGCCGTTGAGTCGCACGGTTCAGGGACCTGCACTGTGCAGCCCTTTGACCTCAGTTGCTGCTTTCACAGGTGAACTGAGACCATGTCCTAATTCCAAAGGACGCTCAATTCTTCATTAAGAATCGCTTAGAACGGACAGTGGATTCTAAAGGGGTTTCACTTTGGGTTTTTTTGTTTTTTAAATGGCATACTTCCAGGTACAGTATAATAAAAACACGAAAGCCTGGGAATTAGATTTTTTTTTAAACTCTACAAAATAATGTAAATTAATTAGCATCCATCAGTAAGAAAACATTAAATGCTTATTTTTAGGTCCTTGGACTAAGATAACAGGATTATCTCAAAAGTATTTTCCAATTTGAGCCAAGGGTCATGATGTAATTCAATTATAATTTCACAACAGAAACATATTTTTGTTTGCTAATGCTGTTTTATGTTATACGACATACGTTTTACCACGTTGTAATATTTCTCATATTAAATTACCTATGGTTTCTACAAAAATACCATGTTTTAAACACTAAGCACATGGGTCATGATTACAGTTGAGTTGTCTGATTTGATTAGTCTTATTAGACTCGGCAGAGAAAGGATTCCATCGCCCTCATGTGGTAATTTTCATGTAGTGTTTCCTCCAGGAATTCTCACTGAACTGCCCTAATTATCTGTTTTCTAGCAGCACTTCAGTTTCAACCTCAGGAATTTAGTGCTTTTCATTTTATAAGATGTTGTCCTGTCATCCTCCAATGATACCAAATCAACGTTTTTCTTAAAATTATTTTTGGCTTTAAATGCACACGCACAATAACTGTGGTAAGACCCTGTCATCACGCAAGGGTCTGAAATAAATGGAAATAACTATGGCTATGATTTATCACATTTTTCCTCCCAAGGAAATAGGTCTTGCTATGCCAATGGCCCACACGTATCAGAAGCCAGTATTAGTCTGAGCATTATTTTTGGAAATAATACAGCAGTATAATTTCTTTTAAAGTAGTCTGTATTATGTACAATGCTCTAGCCCCTTTCTATCACAACACAGATACAGCCAGCCCTCCATGCTGAAGTTTCTGAACTGGCAAATTCTATCAACAGTGGATAGAAAACATTTGTGGAGAAAAAGAAGTGTGTACTAACCATCTATAAACTTCTTTTTCACATCATATTTCCTAAATGGTACAGTTTCACAATGTTTATGGATCATTTACATTATATTAAGTAGTGTAGGTAATCTAGAGGCAGGTTAAGGTAGAAGGATGTATGTATACTTTGGGGACTCAATGAGTTTCAAGGGTTGAAAGCATGAACGTGGATGGAGATCTACTCACTGAATATGGTCAACTCAATCAGTGGCTATATCGTTGACAAAACTAGTGTGCCCATTCCTGGAAACCCACTACATGTTATCAGCTTCCCAGGCAGGGGTGAGGACTCATAACGTCTTCCAAAACTAGTATGGAACAGTAATGGGCCCAATCTAGTGTGAGTCTCGTGCGTTTAACTCTGGTGCTGCTCTTGGTTAACAGGAAAAGTAGGGAGTACACTAAAGATATAGGGATAGGTAAAGACTTTCTGAGTAAGATTCTGGCTATTTGGAAAATAAGGCCAACAACTGGTAAACAGGACTCTATGAAATCAAAACGCTTTTGTAAAATAAAGGAAATGGTCAGTCAAGTAATGGGACCCCTACAGAATAAGGAAACAACTTTTACCAGGATATAGCTAACAGAGGACTGATGTCTAGAGAAGAAAACTAAAAAAAACAAACAAACATCAAAACAAAACAACAATAAAAAACCCAAATAGCTCCACCCCCAAATGGGCATTAAAGCTGAACAGAGTTCTTTCTGAGAGGAAACACAAATGAGTAAGAAGGTGTTCAACATCTTTTGCCATCAGAGAATGCAAATATTACGCCACTTCAAATAAGAGATCTGCGCATCTGCAAGTGTGCCTAGGCTTAATCTTCCATGCATACTGAGGGACCAAAGTTCACGGAGCCTCTCCATGGAATCAATAGCATGTAATGTAACACACACCATTATGACACAGAGTACATAAGCAACAACAGGACGATGAATGAGGGTCTGAGCCACAGCAGTGGTTCTCATGGGAAAGGAGAGAAAATGCTTAGTAAACACTAGCTATATTGGACAGCCAGTGGTGTTAGTCACCGTAGGGTTAGGAGTGGGGTGTGCTGATGACTGAGTGCACACGCCATCCTCCAGGGTAGGAAATCACACTTTCAGACAGGCTGCATTCGAAATGTTACCACCGTACAGCAAGCATGTCAATGGGCTTGAAGATATTGGAGATCATCAGATACAAGACTGTAAATAATGGCCAGGTAGTACAAAGAACTTACATGACAACATCATCCAGGACAAGGGAAAAGACTGAGAATGTGTGAAGCTGAGCTTGGGCACGGCGACATTTTTGTACAGCCTCATCCCTCATTTAACAGAGGTCGCGTGTATGTGTGTACATGTGCTACGCGAAGGCTGAGATCAACCTTGGACTGACTCCCAGGGGCCATCTCTCTGGTTTTATGAGACAGGGTCTCTCAGTGGCCTGGGACATGCTGATCCGGCCAGGTAGGCATGCCAGCAGGTGCTGGGATCCTCCTGTTTCAGATTCCCTGATGCTGGGATTACAAGCACACACAATTATGCAGGCTTTATACTGAGTTCTGGGGACCAGACTCAGATCTTCTGGCTGATGTGGTAAGGACTTGAGTAACTAAGTTACCTCCTACTCCTAGCAGAGCTACTTCTGTCACATAACCATGAACGTTACTTATGTTGGAGAAACAGTACGTGGTTTAGACCAAGGGTCAGAAAGGTAATTTTATTTAAAGTCCTGCCTGAGATTCAGTTTTCTTCGCTGAGCCTGAGGTGTTCTGTTCTGTTCTGTTCAAACACAGTTTCTAGTGTTTTATCCTCCTTTCCCCTTTGCTTTCTACTTCTCCAGAACAAGCAAAGGGCAATTGTATGAGGCACAGAGGATGATGGCGAGGCATTCAGACAGTGAAGCAATGTTCTTTATCGTTCTTTACAGTTCTTAAACCTTAAATGGCTGAGAGTGGTTATCACTGCCAAAGTCTATCGTACATGCTAGAACACAATTTCATCATTTCACCCAAGAAAAGCCGAGAGTGAGGTTTTGTTTTTGAATACCTGCTTGGCTCGGACGCTGCCAGCTTGGTGACTTGACGGCACTGCTGGCTCCTACGGGCTTGAAAGCAGCAGCGGTCCTGAGGCTTGCCACGCCTGGCCTGCTGGAACCTGGGCTCTCTTGGCCCTCAGACTTGCTCAGAGGTGACGCTGATGGCTGAGAAGCCTCGTCGGGGCTGCTGAAAGGAAGATAAGGACACAGCTGTGGTGAGGAGGCAACCATCTAATTCAGCAACAACAACTGCTCTTCCAAATCTCTTACCGTTTTAAGGAAAACAAAAACTGAGGGACTTTTGTTTTTAAAGAAGGGAACCCTGAAAGTGAATAGAACACTTGTGAAAGTGGAAAGGGGGAATACGGGTGGTGGAAAATGTAAGTGTTGAGACAGAGAAGGAAAACAACAACAAAAGTTGCCACAAGGAAGCCCATTACTTTACATGTAAACAATATACAAATAATTCTGAAATCTTGAAAGACTTCTCCTTGTCAAGATGAAAAAGAAGCAGGCAACATTTGTTCTCATTGTTGTAAATTATTTGCAACAAGTCTACAACAAAAAACAAATTGTACTACTGGGAATTCTATAAGCAATCCTTGCAATGGTGGATTCCCCTCTATTCCTATCGTAACCCTCAGAAGAACCATCCTATCAAGACCATTGGTTTCTGCAGTACCCTTGATAAGTCTATGAAACGGATCAACGTTGCTCTTTTTACTTTCTTCGGGTACTTTATGTACTGCTCCTGACACTTTCTTTACCAGTCACCCTTTCCCACTGCAGTCACTCAGTCATTCAGTAGTATTTAGTCACCTACCAAATACCAGATGCTGTAGCAAAGAGACAGTACCTCCTGCCTTGTAGAATGTCTGGTGTTCTGAGTTCATAGCAACAAGGAATTAGTCAGCCACCATGATCTCTCCATCAGTTAACTGCCTATCAGAGGCCTTATCTGTGCTGTATCCAATTTGGTTTAGAGGTCAATATAGCTTTTATTACTAAACCGCTTGCTATTTATAATCATAAATGTATCTTGGGAGACAGTAATAATTTGAGCAGTCCCAAACTATAACATGCATGCTTTGGAATCACACATTAATGTGAAAGTGGTTATTTTTCTAAACTGTGGCATAACAACAACAACCACAAATAATCTTCCTATTACTATTAAGCTTTACAATACAGACAACTGAAATAAACAATTGGAGGAAGAGATTACAAAAAATAGGGTTCTTCATTAATGGCGTCAGTAAAATACATTATACCATGTGCTTCAGTTACATTTCAGATTCACTGCCTACTACATTACCAAACGATTGAGAGTATTCCCTCTTCCCTAATGCCTCTTGAATCTCAAGTAACTTTTAGCATGATAGATATGTGACTACCTAGCCTTAGGGAGGTCTACTTGCAAAGCTTTGGCTAGCATGAGGGAATCTGGGTAAACTGTCCCCTACAATGATATCAAACTCTTTGTAAGTAATGGTTGGCTCACTGTCTGAAACTGTATAAGCAAAATGGCTTATGCTGACACCTGTCATTTCAAGAGCCTAGAATTTTGGCACCATCTGGCACAGAGTGCCTAATATAATATGCCCCTGATAAAAACCTTTTGTCCATCTCTAATGGGCTTTTGTAGCAGACACCACTGTGCACATTTGCTATGACCCCACTGCAGGAACAAAGCTTGTTCATGTGTATCCACTGGTACAGGATCCCTGCCGGCCTGAGCCCTATTACTGCCAGGCTTTAACACAGGACCCTTTTTCTTTTTCTCCTCTCTCTCTCTCTCTCTCTCTCTCTCTCTCTCTCTCTCTCTCTCTCTCTCTCTCATTCTTTTTCTTTTTTTCTGTAATAAATCTCAGCCATGTGTGTACCACTACACAGGAATCACGCGGGTCCTTAAGGTGAAATGTAAAGCCTAGCGGTAGGCTGGAACACTTGGCCCTAAACAATTTTGAGAAATCATAGAATACTTGAATTTTATTGAAATATTCCTTACTTTTGCTTTCTCAAGTTTAAGTTGAATGCTGCCACCATTATTATTATTTCTTATTAGTTTAATGAGAAGTTAAAACCTGCTACATGTTAAAACATACTATCCAATGAAAATTTAAAGAAATTTGGTGATTTTTTTTAATAAGTAAGTATAGTAAAAACACGCTGCTTAACAGGAATGCTGAACACATTAAAGGCAACACAAACACATGAATGGAAACAGGTAAAAGATTTCTGGATGGTGGACAAATGACTATCTTTCAAAGGCTTTGGGAGAGGCCATCATTTCACTTCTAGAGGCCACAGTCTAAACTGTAAATAAGGGAATACTTTGGTGATAAAAATCCCATGCAGCTGAAATAGAATACGTTAATATAAGCTCTTTAGCCTATTTCAGGCATAGAATGTGAGCTTAACACATAAAAGGCTAATAACCATATCCAAATACTAAAATAATGATTTTTAATATATTTACTCATTACAAATATATTAGCTTTAAAATACTATATATAGGAACTTTCTATTCTGAGATTAAATAACTTATACCTATCACAAAAATAACAATAGTTGCAACTCTTAAAAACAAGCTAATCTTAAAAAAAATCCAGAAATACTAAAGCCCAAATCATTGCCATTTAATCATCTGAAGGAATTGAAATTTACTTCTAGGACACCTGCCAAACTTACGGCAGTAAACTGGATGACAGCAGTCCAATGCCAAGGCTAATGACACTGCTTGTCAGAAGTAGCAATATTGGGTGCCCCAAGGTATGAAGAGACCTGGAGTGGCCTTGGCAATACTTGCGCATCCATGTGGCTATCTGTTGTGTACTACTCACGAATGCAATCTGCAGCAAGGTCGGTTCAATAAGGAAGCAATCCTAATATGGAAAACCACTCAAAGCACAAATCTATGTCTAACAAACTGACAGTTCTGTCTCAATGGGAGGCACTCGGGCAGGCGACAGGAGCACCAAAGTGGGCATGGGTATTAAGAGAGTGCAGAGCTGAATCACAGTTCAGCATGTTGGAGCCTGTAAGACACCGCTGTAGTCTATATACCTAAATGAGCTCCCCTGCTGCTGAGTCACAAAACTACAGACTCTGAACATCCTTTTTCTCTGTACATTTCCTTTATTCCCCGCCCAGACTTTCTACAACAGGTACTCCTCTCCACCTTCTTTTGCAAGCACCCAAATTCTCCATCTAGTTAACAGAAGGATATGGCAAGCGGTTATCATATAGCATTTTATATTTATTCACTCAAGCGTCTAGAAGTAGAGACTCTACTTCTAGAAGTATAGCTACTACAGCAGTAGCCAAGTGATAAAAGTCAGGATTCCACTACAGTTCAAATATTGGCACAATTACTCATAACTTCATACCAAACATCAAGTGGGCTGTTAAAAGACATCACAAAGGATCAAGAGGTGAGTTGGCAGGCAAATAAGTAACATGCATGTGTGTCAGCATTACACTGAAATTACAGTTAACTCAAATTGGATAAGTCAATTCTAGGATTTTCTCATCTGGCCTGTTACCATAGTAATACGTTGTTAGAGGAAGCAAACCTCCGCATGCCACGTTCCTTCCCGTAGTACCTGTTTTTCTTAACATGGATAGAGCCACTTGAGTTCTCGGAGGGCTGCAGACATGAAAAAGCTAGAGGCTTGGGAACAGTGCCGATGCACAGTGCATCCAGAAGGGACTGGGAGCTTTCAGGGCCGGAGAGCCTGGCAAGCATCCAGAGAAGGACGTCAGTGAAAACTCCCAGTGTCCACAGAAGAACGTGCTGCTTCAGCCTACGATCTGAAACACTTCCTTTGAGTGTGAGAGACGGGGAGGAGGGGCGGGAAAAGAAGTGGAAAGCACGGGAGAAAGATGAGCAGAGATGTGCCAGGAATTCATTTTATTATTTTGCTCTTTGATATAAAACTGATGAAATTTGGCTGGGCACAGTGGTGCACACCTTTAACCCCAGTACCTGGGAGGTAGAGTCAGGTGGATCTCTGTGAGTTTGAGGCCGTGCTGGTCTACTTGGTGAGTTCTAGGATGGCTAGGACTACACAAAGAGATCTTGTCTCAAAAAATAATGATGAATTTTTTACTAGGCATGCAAGACTGGCTTTCAAAAGCATTTAAAGCCACACATGTGATAGGAAAACTGTAGAAACAAAACGGACAGAAGGGCTGTTTCTGAGAGCAATTAGGCTTTAGTTCGCCAAGGTTGTGGAAAAAGATAGCATCCACAGAATTTCCCGATTCTGCCTCAACTACGACAAGTGAAAGCTGTAAAAGTCTAAAGTCTGTAAGGACACGGTACATAATGGGTGGTAGCTGTGAAAAGAGAGACAGGGATGCTTTCAAAGGACACTCCCATGGGCTTACCCACAACCTGTATGAAATGCTCACCACAAAGGCGGGGGGAGGGGGGCTTACAGCACTCTGCACCTGGACGGGTGGGGTCTGTTCTCTACAAAGTGACCTGTCAGACACTGGAGAATGCAGGGCCCACAGACACAGCACACACAAGTCTACCTGGTTTTCGCAGCAAGAGCAGCAGACACAGTGGCAGCCGCACCACTGACTACGGCAACACTGTATCTAGCCGGAGGAGAAAAGGCAGAAATTTTTCCAGAACCTTCTACAGTCCTTGTAGATCTGCTTACACTGACAGGGAAAGAAAGGCAGAGGAAGAGAAAATGAAAGCCGGAAAAGGCAGCAGAATAAACACAAGTTAGCACTCGCTGTAGATCGGTATTACACACAAAGGTGAGCCATTAAAGGTGTGACAGGTGCTTAGGTGTTAGGACTCATTATGTCCGCAATTCCAGACATTTAAATTTAATGTGTAAGCCTACCTGAAACAGTCTGTTTTCACCAAGCACTCTGAAATGTCAGTTATAGCTAGTCCTATTATACGACATCGAAATTATATGTCACATATTTAAAGAATTATACATGCACAACTAAGTAGAGAATGAATGTGAAAAATAAAGATTGTGTTTCTATAAGCAGAGGTAAGGGGGTTTTCCTAAATAGGCTTTACATGAGAAGTGCTGTCTGCGAGCACACACACACACACACACCAAGGCCATGACATTTTAATGAAATATGTTTTTAGAAGCAGAACTGCCTACACGTTCAGAAGTAGCAACGTTGATTAGCATGAACCAGACATAA